TCTTAACCTCATATGATGAAAGAGGTAGGTGGTCTCTCTGAAACCTCATGTAAGGGCTTATTCTTGAATCCTATGAATTCTTGAATCCTATTGATGAGGGCTTATTCAGGTAATTACACTGCCATATCCAACTCTGGTCTTGATGGCTTTTTCCATTTTTTCAAACTGTTTTTTGTTTGTTTGTTTTTACATTTTAGTATGATTTGTAATTTTTTGTTAAAATGTGGTTCATGGTGGATTGGGAAAAATGAACTACCGGCCAGTCATGGTGTCTGATGCCAATAATCCCAGCACTTTGGAATGTCAAGGCAGGAGAATTACGTGAACCTAGGAGTATGAAATCAGCCTGGGCAACGTTGTGGTAACCTGTTTCTACTAAAAACAATAATAAAATGAATAATAATAAAATGAACTTCTGTAAATAAGCTTTTTGTAAAATAGTAGTAAGGAGCGAGGGCAAAGGAAGCATTCTGGAGTCCTATGATTAAGTTTCAGTTTGGGTGTGAACTTTGACTATAAATTCTACCAGTTCTTCTTAGCCTTAGGTGGAATAGAATGGCTAGAAGGGCTCTGAGTTGGGAATTACATTTCTCCCAGGTTGGTTAGGTTCTGATAAACTTCTAGTGTTTTAAGCTCTTTTAAAATAGCTCATCCTGAGGCAAACATTTTTAAGAATAACAGAATATTCTGGTATATTTCCAAATCATTCATTTCTCCTCCCATTGAAAGAAGCACATGGAAGTTTTTTTTCTGATATTTATTGTAATGAATTTACAATATTTCTCCATTACTTATTCAATTTCAGTTCAGGATTACCTATCTGGTTCCCACAGAGGTTTCTGCTCTGTATATCATCATTCTTCATATATGCCCATATATCTGTCCAATTTTGGAAACAGTGGTTTGCCATGTGATTTCACTTCTCTTATGTGCCTAAAAATAGTTTTGTTTTGCTGTTTTTTTTTTCAGTGTGTTCAGCTTTGGTCTTGTTAGAATAAAATGGCAACTTTGAATCATTTTATATACTGGATCAGAAACTGGAAGACTCCATATGATTCTTATTTACAAATTCTTATTCTAGGCAAAAATTCTTATCTTACTCATTGTGATGGTTAATACTGAGTGTCAACTTAAGAGGATTAATGGGTACAAAGTATTAATCCTGGGTGTGTCTGTGAGGAAGTTGCCAAAGGAGATTAACATTTAAGTTAGTGGTCTGGGAAAGGCAGACTCACCCTTAATTGGATGGGAACTATCTAATCAGCAGCTAACAAATATAAAACAGGCAGAAAAACATGAAAAGGAGAGACTGTCCTAGCCTCCTACCCTACATCTTTCTCCTGTGTTGGATGCTTCCTGCCCTGAAACACTGGACTGCAAGTTCTTCAGTTTTGGGACTTGGACTGGCTTTCCTTGCTCCTCAGCTTGCAGACTGTCTATGGTGGGACCTTGTCACTGTGTGATTTAATATTTAATAAACTCACCTTTATATATGTATATATATCATATATATTTATATATCTCATATATATATCTCCCCTTTATATGTATGATATATATATATATATCCTCTCTATATATCCATATATATGTGTGTGTGTACATATATATATATATATATACATATGTATAGGGGTGTGTGTGTGTGTGTGTATGTGTGTGTATATTGTATGGGATAATGTTGGAAAGAACACAGTGTTGGATAAGGCTGAATCTTATACTATATATATATCCTATTAGTTCTTTTCCTCTAGAGAACTCTGACTAATACAGATTTTGGTAGGGGGAGAGATTCTAAAGGAACAGAATATTAAAGATGCAATTCTTTCATTGGTTTTGGGGTTTCTGGAGTTGGCTGCTTAATAGGATTATACCCAAAAATGCTAAAGAATCTACTTCTAATAGTATGGATAACACTGATAGTCCTCGGCGTGAACTGTTTAGAGAGTTTTGCAAAATAAATGCATTTGACACTCCTGATTCACCGCTTGTGAGAGAAAGTGTTTAGTGACTCTATACATGTTACCTTTCAGCACATGTGGAAAACAAAGAAACATAATGAAGCTTGATGGTTGCCCCAAAGTTCAGTGACAAAATGATGAAAGAAAATGATGAAGTCAGGAATTCTGTCTCCCAGCTTCAGAAGCAGATACTGCACCTCAAATCTGCTAAGACTGTGGTGAATAAGAATCTTATCTCCTATAGAGTAAGGGATGAAACTGTGAAATAACAAACACAAGCTCTTATCATGCCAGTGGCTGACCTGTGATGAAAGATGCATGCACAGCCTCACCAGATGCCTATTGTTAAAGTGAGGGTATTGATTAAGAGAGAGTGGGACCCCTGAAACTTGGAATGGGGATATGTGGGAGGACCCTGATAAAGCTGCAGACACTGAGTTAGCAAACTCTGAAGAACCTTTTTTGCCAGAAGAAAAAATTCCCATCCCCATTAGCAGCAACATTCCCTCCCCGACCCAAGCTGCCATCAGCCTTTCCACCTTTGCCTGAAGAGATAAACCATGCACTGCCTGAGACAACGGTGATGGCCTCCCTAAAGGCAGTTGCCAGGAAAGATAATATTGACTCTCCTCAGGAGCCATCCCCAGCAGCCCTGTTTGCTTCTAGGCCTATAACTAGGCTAAAGTCCCAATGGACCGCTAGAAGTGAGATTGACAGTGTCACCCATGAGGAGGAGCGCTACAGTTAAAAAGAACTGCTGAAGTTTTCTAATTTATACAAGCAGAAAACTGGAGAACAGGCATGGAAATAGATATTAAGGATGTGGGATAATAATGGAAGGAACATAGAATTGGATAAGGCTGAGTTTATGGATTTGGGCTCACTAAGTAGGGACTCTGTTTTTAATGTTGCAGTTCTGGGAGGTAAAAAAGGTTTTAATAGTTTATTTGCTTGGTTAGCTGAAATATGGATTAAAAGATGGCCCACTGTTAGTGAGCTGGAAATGCCTGATCTCCCTTGTTTTAAAGTAGAGGAAGGGATACAAAGGCTTAGGAAAATTGGGTTGGTGGAGTAGGTTAATCACTTTAGACCTACTCATCCCTGCTGAGAGGGTCCAGAAGACATACCCTTGACCAAAGCTTTGTGAAATAGATATGTGAGGGCAGCACCTGCAACTTTGAAGATCCCTGTAATTGCCTTTCTCTTTATATCAGATATAACTGTGGGAACTGCAATCATACAACTATAAAATTTAAATACAGTGGGAATAATTATTTCCTGAGGTGACAGCACTCAGTAGTCAAAGGCATTGTGGGCGTAGCTACCGTAATGAACAGTAGATGCGAAGTGGCTACAAGAATAATCTGATATGACAGTGACATCTGAAGCAGATCCATTGGTGCTTCAAGTGTCAGTGTCAGACAGGAATGGTCTTTGGAGCCTTTGGCAGGCCCCCACAGGTGAATCACAGCAGATGCCTCTAGGATTTTGGAGCAAGGCCCTGCCATCTTCTGCACATAACTAACTACTGTCTTTTGGGAGACAGCTCTTGGCCTGGTACTGGACTTTGGTGGAAACTCAACGTTTGACTATATGTCATCAAGTTACCATGCAACCTGAACTGCCTATCATGAACTGGGTGCTTTCTGACCCATCTAACCATAAAGTGGGTCATGCATAGCAGCATTTCATCATCAAATGGAAGTAGTGTATCCGTAATCAGGCCTGAGCATATCCTGAAGGCACAAGTAAGTTATATGAAGAAGTGTCTCAAAAGCCAATGGTCTCTACTCCTGCCACCCTGACTTGTCTTTACCAGCCTGCACCAATGGCCTCATGGGGAGTTTCCTACAATCGGTTGACAAAGGAAGAAAAGACTAGGGACAGGTTTACAGATTGTTTGGCACAATAAATGCAAGCACCACTCAAAAGTAGAAAATTGGTGACAAAGAAACTTGGAGAAGAGATAGGAGGATGGACCTGTCTGTGTGTTCAAAAACCACGAAGATATTTGTATCCTGTGCTCACTTCGGCAGCACATATACTAAAATTGGAATGATACAGAGAAGATTAGCATGGCCCCTACAGAAGGATGACACACAAATTTGTGAAGCATTCCATATTAAAAAAAAAACATAAAAAAATAAAATAAGAAGATATTTGTATCCCATGTGAGTGCTCACCAACAGGTGACCTCAGCCGAAGAGGATTTTAATAATCAAGTGGATAGGATGACTGATTCTATAGATAGTACTCATCCTCTTTACCCAGTCAGTCATCCCTGTTATTGCCCAATAGGCCCATGAAGAAAGTGGCCATGGTGACGGGGATGGAGATTACTCATGGGTTCAGCAACATGTACTTCCACTCACTAAGGCTGATTTGGTTACAGTTACTGCAGAGTGCCCAATTTTCCAGCAGCAGAGACTAACACTGAGCCCTCGATATGGCACCATTCCTCGGGGTAATTAGCCAGCTAACTGGTGCCAGGTTGACTATATTGGACCTCTTCTGTCATGGAAAGGGAAGAGATTTGTCCTCACTGGAATAAACACTGGATATGGGTTTGTGTATCCTGCGTGCAATGGTTCTGCCAAGACTACCATCTGTGGACTCATGGAATGCCTTATCCACCATCATGCTATTCCACACAACATTGTCTTTGACCAAGTCACTAACTTTACATCTAAAGAAGTGTGGCAGAGGGCCCATGCTCATAGAATTCACTGGTCTTACCATATTCCCCATCATCCTGAAGTAGCTGTATGAATAGAACAGTAGAATGGCCTTTTGAAGTCACAGTTACAATGCCAATTAGGCAACAGTACTTTGCAGAGCTGGTGCAAAGTTCTCCAGAAGGCCATGTATGCTCTGAATCAGCATCCAATATATGGTACTGTTTCTTCCATAGCTAGGATTCAGAGGTCCAGGATTCAAGAAGTGGAAGTGGAAGGGGCACCACTTACCATAACCCCTAGTGAACCACTGGCAAAAGTTTTGCTTCCTGTTCCTGTGACATTACATTCTGCTGTCCTACAGGTCTTAGTTCCAGAGGGAGGAACTCTGCCACCAGGAGACACAACAAGGCTAAGAAGGGAATTACAGTGTTGGCTGGAGTGATTGACCTGGACTACAAGATGAAAGTCTACTACTTCACAACAGAGGTAAGGAAGTGTATGCATGGAATACAGGAGATCTATTAGGGCATCTCTTAGTATTACCATGCCCTGTGATTAAGGTTAATGGGAAACTACAACAGCCCAATCCAGGCAGGGCTGGCTCTGATCCTTCAGGAATGAAGGTTTGGGTCAGATCCTTTAGGAATGAAGGTTTGGGTCACTCAACCCAGAATAAAAGCACAACCTGCTGAGGTGCTTGCTGAATGCAAAGGGAATTCAGAATGGGTAATAGAAGAAGGTAGTCATCAATACCAGCTAAAATGACCATGTGACCAGCTGCAGAAAAGGGGATTGGAATTGTCATGAGTATTTCTTCCTTTTGTTAAAAGCATGTTTGTACATCTATCCACTTATACTAAGATAATATCTTCATTTTATTTACTTTTTCCTTTACTATGTGACACAAAATTTTTTGACTTCATATCAACATTTAAGTATCATTAACCATCTAATCAGCTGCCAGCAAATATAAAGCAGGCAGAAAAATGTGAAAATGAGAGACTGGCATAATCTCTCAGCCTACATTTTTCTGCTGTGCTGAGTGCTTCCTGCCCTGGAACACTGGACTCCAAGTTCTTTAGTTTTGGGACTTAGTCTGGCTCTCCTCTCTCCTCAGCTTGCAGAAAGCCTGTTGTGAGACCCTGTGATCATGTATATTAACACTTAATAAACTCATACACACACACACATACACACACACACACACATATTCTATTAGTTCTGTCCCTCTAGAGAACCCTGACTAATACCACTCATATTGTTAACAGTTATTTTAATGTTTGTGTCTGATAATCTCAACATCTATAGCTTCTTTACATCTATTTCTGTCACATAATTTTTTATTGATATTGGTTGCCTGGTTTTATATCTCAGTATGTATGTTCCTTTTATTACATGCCTGACATTGTATATGAAATACTATAGAGATATTTGAAGAATTAGAATTCTAGTCTTCACTCAAAGAGGATTTATGTGAGCTTTTCTTCCAGTTAGAATATGGGCATCTCACATCTATACATTAAGTGACTGATCTGATTAACAGCTGGCTTTAATTTATTGAAAGGTCTTTTCTGTACTCAGTTCTTCCTTTACTTAGAGTGTAGCCCTCAAAAGCATACAATGAAAGCCTGGGGTGGTTAAAAGAGACTCTTCTTTTGGCTGGGCCTTGAATTCCAGTTGTCTTTTGCAGCTTTATGAACCTGATAAAAATTATGATGGGTTTTCAGCCTATAGAAATCTGGTAATGATTGATTCATGCACTGAGAAGAAAAGAAAAGTGAAATGCCTTGCATATCATTCAAATTTTCCCTTTGTTTCTAAATATTGGATTTTAATATTCTTGATGCCTTAGTAGCTCATTCATATCTTAAAAATATATTAAAATATTTTGTACAGCTTTTCTAATTGTTTTCTGCAGAGTGTTTTTTTCTAACTCAAACTGAGTTATCACAACTGAAAATCAAATTTTCCTTTGTGTATTTTGATATGCCATTTCTTACTTAATGTTTTATCACTGAATCCTTTAACTATATTTATCTTCTTCCTTTGTTGGGGGAGTTATTTGTACTGTGACTCAGGGTGGGAAAGAATGTATTCTCTGGGTACTTTGTGGAATATTTTACATTTAAAAAGCCTTAATTATGGCGATATTTTAAAATGGTAACAGATTTTTATATATGTTTTAACATTTCACCCTGGTTCGGCTACATTTCCCATTTATTCAATCAAACATTAATTTAGATGCTGCTGTGAAATTATTTTGCCGATGTAAAGTCCCTAATTAGTTGACTTTAAGTAAAATAGATCGCTCTGGATAATCTAGGTGGATCTGATTAATTCTATTGAAATTCCTTAAAAACAAGGACAAGGCTTTGCAGAGACTAAGAGAGAGAGAAAGAAAGAAAGAAAGACAGACAGAGAAAGTGAGTAAGAATGAGAGAAAGAGTGAGATTTATTATAGGAATTGGCTTACATGATTGTCACTGACTGCCTGATTAATGGATACTGGATTTTCTAAGATAGCCCCACAATCATGTAAGCCAATTCCTATAATAAATCTTAGAACTTATTCAGATTTATTAAGAAAGAATCTGAAGCTTATATATGTATGTTGAGTATATTTTATATATACTTTATATATATTATATATAGTATATGTTATACATATATAAAAATATATGTCTTCTATTGGTTTTGTTTCATGTATATAATATCTACAGTATTATATTTAAATATATATATGGTATTTTATTTAAATGCATCTTTTTGTCCTGTTGCTGGCACAAATGAATATACTATGCATAATTAAGTCAAATTAGTATAATTACTTTGGGAATATAAATGGAAGGAGAAATACAATTAATGAATATGCTAATTTCCCGTCTGCTATAGACATAAGGGGATAGTTGATCTTTATCCATGGCTTATAAATGCATACCAGATTAAATTAATGATTCCCATAAATATTTTCTTCATTTCTAAGTGAAAAAATAAAAATGATGTTTCAAGGTTAAACTTTAAACAATAGGAGAAAACATCAATACTTTATCCTTCAGATTAATAGAAAATATTATAAGAAAATATTGATAAGTCTGTAATGATCTTACAAAAGTCTAGGCAGCTAATAATGATTTTTGATCATGTCCAGTGAGAATAGAATCCCACCACTATTAGTTCAGACTGTTTTTTTTTTTTTGCAAATAAGCTAGCATGGCCATAATAAGCATGTAAATCATCATAAATAACTAATTGTGTATGCAAGAATACATTACTTCTGCTCCAAGAAACTATAACCAGAGGGAACAAATAGTCTTCTAAATTCGAAGAAAGCAAAGCTCTGTAGTAAAATAAAATATTAATTCTTGGAAAGAGTCTGAGGTTTGCTTTTGGTGTAGTTTCTTTCAGAAGATTTTATAAATCTAGTTTTAAATGAATTATTTTATTTATTTATTCTGTATATCTGTCATTTATATATATATATGTATATATATTTATTTATTGCACTTCAGGTTCTGGGGTACATGTGCAGAATATGCAGGATTGTTGCATAGGTACATACATGGCAATGTGGTTTGCTGCCTCCATCCCCATCACCTCTATGTGGCATTTATTCCCATGTTATCCCTCCCCAACTCCCTACCCCCTGCTGTCCCTCCCCTAGTCCCCCACAACAGACCCCAGTGTGTGATGCTCCCCTCCCTGTGTCCATGTGTTCTCATTGTTCAATACCCACCTATGAGTGAGAACATGCGGTGTTTGATTTTCTGTTCTTGTGTCAGTTTACTGAGAATGATGGTTCCCAGATTCTTCCATGTCCCTACAAAGGCCATGAACGCATCGTCTTTTATGGCTGCATAGTATTCCATGGTGTACATGTGCCACATTTTCCTCCCCAGCCTATCGTTGATTGGCTTTTGGGTTGGTTCCAGGTCTTTGCTATTGCAAACAGTGCCACAGTGAACATATGTGTGCATGTGTCTTTATAATAGAACAACTTACAATCCTTTGGATATATACCCAGTAATGGGATTGCTGGGATGAATGGAATTTCTGTTTCTAGGTAGTTGAGGAATTTTCACACTGTCTTCTACAATTTACACTCCCACCAACAGTGTAAAAGTGTTCCTATTTCTCCACATCCTCTCCAGCATCTGTTATCTCCAGATATTTTAATGATCGCCATTCTAACTGGTGTGAGATGGTATCTCAATGTGGTTTTGATTTGCATTTCTCTAATGGCCAGTGATGATAAGCATTTTTTCATGTTTGGTGGCCTCATATATATCTTCTTTTGGAAAGTGTCTGTTCATATCCTTGGCCCACTTTTGAATGTTTTTTTTTTTTTTCGTGTAAATCTGTTTTAGTTCTTTGTAGATTCTGGATATTAGCCCTTTGTCAGATGGGTAGATGGCAAAAATTTTTTCCCATTCTGTTGGTTGCAGTTCACTCAAATGATTGTTTCTTTTGCTGTACAGAAGCTCTGGAGTTTAATTAGATCCCATTTGTCTACTTTGGCTTTTGTTGTCAGTGCTTTTGGTGTTTTAGTAATGAAGTCTTTGCCTATGCCTATGTCCTGAATGGTTTCACCTAGATTTTCTTCTAGGGTTCATATGGTGTTAGTTCTTAAGTTTAAATCTTTAATCCATCTGGAGTTAATTTTAGTGTAAGCTGTCAGAAAGGGGTCCAGCTTCTGCTTTCAGCACATGGCTAGCCAGTTTTCCCAACACCATTTATTAAACAAGGAATCCTTTCCCCATTGCTTGTTTTTGTCAGGTTTGTCGAAGATCAGATGGTTGTAGATGTGTGGCGTTGTCTCCAATGACTCTGTTGTGTTCCAATTGTGTATATTTCTTATTTAGTACCAGTGCCATGCTGATTTGATTACTATAGTTTTGTAGTATAGTTTGAAGTGAGGTAGCGTGATGCCTCTAGCTTTTTTCGTTTTGCTTAGAATTGACTTGGCTATGCGGGCTCTCTTTTGGTTCCATATAAAGTTTAAAGTGGTTTATTTTTAAATAAACGAATCAGCAGTTATCTAAAACCTTTTATAATTCAGTTAAAATAAAATTCTGTGTTCCTTAGTTGTTCAAATTGGCAGTTTTTGAAAAAGTAAGCTACTACTATAGCTTTGGCTCACACAAAATTATACTTTAAGTGTATGAAAAAGATATTATTCAGCTACTAAAATGTATGAATGATATATTCAAATCATATTTAAATAGTAGTTTAACACAGACTAGGTTAAGCTTAGGCCCTAGGTTTTAATGTCTTATAGTTCTAACTAAAATTTTCTTTTGACCTTCAGGTATTTTATGCTAACCTATGCCTTTTATGGTCTTCTTTTGTAGAAGTAAAACACAGTCTCATAATATTTAAAGCTGTGGAGATTGACTTAACAGCCTTATACTGAATAAACCACAAGAATAAACACTTTGAAGTAGAAAAAAATGTAATTATATGCCAACAAATAGTGCAGTCATCTTTAA